CTCTGGCTGGTCTCGAACTCCTGACCTTGAGCGATCCACCCACCTCGGCCTCCCAGAGTGCTAGGATTACAGGCGTGAGCCACCACGCCTGGCCTGCCCATCATATTTTGAAATTAAAAAAAGAACTCCTACAACTCAAATAACAAAGATACAAATAACTCAATTTTTTAAATGGACAAAAGATTTGAATAGACATTCCTGCAAAGAAGATACACACATGACAATAACCACATGAAAAGAGGCTCGACATCATTAGCCATGAGGGAAATGCAAATCAAAGCCACAAGGAGATACCCACTAAGATAGCTATAATAAAAAAGACATAATAACCAATGTTGTTGAGGATGTTGAGAAATTGGAACTGTCATCAATTGCTGGTAGGAATGAAAAAGGTGCAGCTGTTTTGGAAAACAGTCTGGCACTTTCTTAAACAGTTGAAAATAGTTACCAGATGACTGAGCAATTCCACTCCTAGCTATCTACTCAAGAGAAATGAAAACATATGTCACACACGTATATGAATGTTCATAGCAAAATTATTGATAATAGTTAAAAAGTAGAAACAATCCAAATGTCCATCAACTTATGAATGTATAAATAAAAATGTGGTATATCCATACAATGGTATATTATTCAGCCATAAAGGAACGACGTACAGTTGACCCTTGAACAGCATGGTTTGAACTTCATGGATCCACTTATACACAGATTTTTTGCAACCAAAGGTGGATTGAAAGTACACTATTTGAGGGATGGGAAGCCCACCTATAATGGAGGGCTGAGTTTTGCACGGGTACTCCAGGGCCCACCGCGGGACTTGAGTATGCACAGATTTTTGTAGTGGTCATCCTGGAACCAATGCTCTGCACATACAGACGTACAACTGTATCGATACATGCTACAATGTGGATGACCTTCGAAAATATTATGCTAAGTGAAAGAAACAAGACACAGAAAGTCACACAGTATGATTCCATGGATATAAAATGTCCAAAATAGCAAATCTATAGAGACTTAAAGTAAATTAGTTATCACCTAGGGATGGGGCTATAGGAAACAAAGGATGTGATTGCTTCTGGGTATGGTGTTTCTTTTTGTTGCTTTATAGGTGGTCTTTTGGGGATGATGAAATGTTCTAAAATTGTGAATATACTAAAAATCACTGAAAGGAGTGAATTGTATGGTATATGAGTTAAATCTCAATGAAACTGTTTACAAGTTAGGTATATTTGTATAGGTCTATTTCTGGGGTTCTGTAGTCTGTTCCTTTGATCTGTGTGATGCATATGTCTATCTCTCTGTCAAGATTAAAAATAATCTTCAGGAAACTCTGTGAGATATAAGAGAATACAGATAGACAACTCAATGAAATCAGAAAAACAATTTATGATTTGAATGAGAAATTCAACAGATATATCATAAACAAGAACCAAACAAAAATCCTACAGCTGAAGAATTCAATGAGCGAAATACAAAATACAATTGAGAGATTCAATAACAGACTATACCAAGCAGAAAAGAATATCTGAACTTGAAGACAGGTTCTTTGAAATAACACAGGCAGGCCAGGTACAGTGGCTCACGCCTATAATCCTAGCACTCTGGGAGGCTGAGGCAGAAAGATGGCTTGAGCTCAGGAGTTGGAGACAAACCCGAGCAAGAGTAAGACCCATCTCTACTAAAAATAGAAAAATTAGCTGGGCATTGTATCACACACCTGTAGTCCCAGCTACTCGGGAGGCTGAGGCAGGAGGATTGCTTGAGCTCAGGAGTTTGAGGTTGCAGTGAGTTACAATGGTGCTACCGCATTCTAGCGGGGTGACAGAGTGAGACTCCTGTCTCCAGAAAAAAAAATCCCTTTGTGATTTTGGAATCTCAAAAGACCCTGAATAGCCAAAGCAATCCTGAACATAAAGAACAAAGCTGGAGGCATCATACTACCAGACTTCAAAATATACTACAGGCTGGGTGCAGTGGCTCATGCTTGTAATCCTAGCCCTTTGGGAGGCCAAGGTAGGAGGATCACTTGAGGCCAAGAGTTTGAGATCAGCCTGAGTAATAGTGAGACCCCATCTCTACAAATAAAACCCACAAGATATACCACAAAGCTGGCTGGGTGTGGTGGCTCACGCCTGTATTTCCAGTGCTTTGGGAGGCTGAGTGGGAGCATTGTTGAGGCCAGAAGCTCAAGACCACTCTAGAAAAAATCAAAACAAAACAAAAAACCTGGGCCTGGTGCACACCTGTAGTCCCAGCTATTCAGGAGGCTGAGGCAAGAGGAGGCTGAGGCAAGAGGATTGCTTGAGCCCAGGAGTTTTAGACTGCAGTGAGCTATGATTGTGCTACTTACTGCACCCCAGCCTGGGCAACAGAGCGAGAGCCTGTTAAAATAAAATAAA